TAATATTCAGATTCACTAAAATTTACGGGTGATGTTAATGCTCAGGCTAACTTTGCTTTCCTAATACTTAAAACATTATCATATTTTCTGGAAGGCTTAGGCAAGCTAACCATAGTTGCGCAAAGACTTTCGCTATGCTCTAGTGTTCTTCCATCATTGGAACAGTGATCAGAAATAGTTTAAAATAGTTGGATTCCATCATGTTCGGCGAAGTATCTGTAAATATATCTGGTGAATGATTGGTTTGGGACAAGCTACACAAATAGTTAAGCAACGATATCCCAAAAGTATATACCTTCGAAAATTTGGTCACAATGAATCTGAATTATATCGGGCATAAATTAGCCAAAACAAGAGCTACTGATGATTTGCTTTAAATCTATAAGTAGTACATTTTTTGTTAGGATTATCTCTGCTCTCCCCATTTATGCTCTGTTAAATATCGACATTCTATCAAGGAAATTTGAAATACCAAGGAATGAAGAATAAGGATATAGGTTTATAAGGATTAAAGAATAAGACGTAACAAATGTATTTCGGAGACTCCCTAAATAGGTAGATCGTGGAGTAAATTTTGTTTCGTTTAAAGAGGCGAGTGGAAAGGATTAGAGAGTTTGTCTAGCCAGAAGCTGAAGGACCATTGATTCAGAGCTGTGACCCTAGATTTGTGCGAATAAGGAGAAGAACACCTTTCCTATCTTGGTTTCATGAATTATTATAAAGCTCTGACGATGTCAGTCACACGACGGATGAACGCTTGGCAGGGATTCATTGGTGTCTCGGTGTGGTGCGCCGAGAGATACATTCACAGCTCTAAAGCAATCCCTCTTCAGCTTCCGGGGGGAGGGCAACTTACAAATTCCTTCCGCTCGCCTCTTAAAACTAAATGAAAAGTACTCCAACATAAATAAGGCATTTTATAGGTTCTTTTTAGCTCCTTACGTTGATTATGATCAACATTCTGATGATCTATAAGGGGCTGAAGATCAATTAGGGCCCCACTAAAATATCCTTCCAGCTTTATGGTAGAGTTATGTTGAAAGCATGAATTCTATAATGTAATTATTTAGTTTCTTAGAATCTTAATCTCTTTTGGCCTCATTCAATGTAATTTAATTATTGAATTCAACATTATTGTTCATTCATCTTATGTATCTTTTCTCTCGCCTTTATATGAATTAGTACCAATTATTTTACTTCCCTCTGAATAATACATTCCTTTTCTTCTTTAACATGCGATAGCTGATTTGTTCGAATTCCCTAGTGGAATGGAAGCCTTTTTGAGCTCAGACCCCACCTTCCCTTTATGTGTTGACGCGTTTTGTAAAAGAGAAGGCTTCAGGAACCTAGATTCATCTGACCCCATTGCTAACCACGACACCTACCCTGATCATAGCTGTGGAGGATGTGGAGGAAGTGACAGTACTCCGGCTCAAGACGTCGATCCATCAAACACGTTAGCAGGTGGTTACATAAATAACAGTTGCTCTGCAGAAAAGGATGTGAATTGGACTGGACTTTATAACCCTCAAAGTATCCAATCCACCGTACCACAGCTATTTCATCAAAGCCAGCTTGCGCCCACCAACAGAAAACGAGGAACACTGCCGTCT